ATCAATACCAGCCGAGTGTATGTAGGGTGGAGGCCATACCTGGATAACAGCTTAAAGTTATATTTAGGTGACTTAATTTGCATACTAAGATATTAGCTCAACTGTACAAAGGTAATGAAACTAATTTGACTCCCTTTTACAAAACTGGTTGGAACAGCGACATCAAAGAGTTCCTTGTTTAGGAAACGGCGGGCGAGCCCGCGTGGGTGGTTGCGTGGGAGCATGGGCGGGGGATTTTACGGGACTGGCTGAAAAGGAATAAAACACTGTGATTAAGTCCGAGTTAAAGAAAACCATTTCACGTAAGCTGGATCAAGAAAATTCGACAACTATCACAGGCAGTAACAAATTGTTATTCGCAAACATATTTTATTATTCAAATAATATAAATGCTATAACTACTTTAAGTATGTAACAACTGTAAACGATGTCGGCTAATTCTGAAACAATTATTTACCCCAGTGGAGTTCGACAGCTTTGAGTGAATATTTTCCCGTTATTCACCGACTTTAAAGTGGAAAACTGTTTCAAACCCTGAAACTGAGCAGTGCAGGCTGTAGAAAGAATACATTCACAGACTACTTCCAAAACGATGTCGTGACAAAGAATTCAATTCTCCCTATTGTTAACGCTAGAAATGTATGGCAATCTGTCAGGAGAATTAGCATTTGAGATCAGTGGGGTAAAAACAAAACAAAGCAAAACAAAACAACAACACTTGTTTGTTCTTTTTCACTGGTGTAAGACACTTCATAATCTTGCAAACCCCAGTTCCACACTTCATAGACAAGCGACAAGCCTGGCTTTGCAGGGTGTGAAACAGTTTGGTATAGTTGTCATAACATGCTTCATTTTATTCAAGACTCCAGACACTCCTTCAGCCTTGTCTCTGTGAACTGGTCAGAACGTCTGTGTGAAAGAGATAAGCACTGATCAGGATCAGACAATATAATAGTAGAACAGGAATTGGGGATCTGAGGATCAACATCCTCAATGTTTTGGATCGAAAGAAGAGTTTGCAAAGCCAAACATGGGAGGATAAAGACAGTAGTGAGATCAGCTTTATTTCAAGCTTAGCTCGTGGCTACACAATTGTCAACTGATCTTGCTGTGCTACCTTTGAAATTGCAATAGAATACGCCGTTTCGCGACGCCCGACCGACTCTAACATCTATTAATTAGAAGCACACTGAAACGACAATACTGAATCGCTAGAAAATTTAAGCGAAGGGAAGCAATAACCAGGGCTACTATTGCTTTGCTTCGTTTGTTTCTTTTTCTTTTCCTTTCTGCCCAACCAAGGGAACGAAACATATTATTTGGATGGCCTTAGGAAATGACAGTTCAGGACAATATACCGTTTTGACGTTTATGGCCTCGCCACTTCCAGTCGCCACTCCAGAAACTTGTGGGAGACTGAGTGCCAGCTAAGACCTCAAGAATTCCGGTATCGTTTGCTAGAGCGAGATATGATTGGTAGATGGTTTCAATAGACAATTTTAGACCAATCAAAGCTCACATCAGTTTCCCGGGTCCTTAGTAATGGAGTGGCGAACTGTTTCGTGTTCTCAGAGTGAATCTAACGAAGTCGAAAAGCCCTAAATGCCACTGCACTTTAACGTCGAAATGACTGACTCCTTAAATACGAACACAATTTGGTCTGATTGTCACCATACGGATTGCAGTGTCCACTCTGTTTATCGAGACACATTGCCCTACCTTTGTAACCTGAGCGTTTGATTGAAGCAGCGCAAGCTTTCTTCAAGAGAACCGAATGAGACGTCGATATCCGGGATATGCAATTCTTCAAGGAATTTTGGAGACTTCTAAAACAGAAAGAAATATGTTTGTATGTACTGAGTCAGACGTTTACAGCACCATAACCATGCACCCATACACAAATGAAACATGCCTTCTTTTACTTCTCATTACAGTAATCATAAGTTGTGCTTTCGTCTCACGGACAAACATTGCTACAGACTATTAAAAAAAAAAACAGAAAACTTCCAAATTTTCACTGAACAGAACTGGCGCGTTTGTTTCTGACTACAAAAAGGCTAGCGGCCTTATGGGCAACAGAGCGCGAAGAAGGTAGGTGAGGTGAGGTGACAACAAAGCTAATGAAATCGAAGGTATAAAATTTAGGCTTTGATTTACAACTTTTAAGAAAGCAAGTTTCATTGACCATATAAAAGGCTCATTGTTAACAACAATCACAACTTATCCCGCAAAAATCTTTCACAAATCTTTCTCTCGTTGAGCAGATGATAACCACCCTGACATTTCTCAGAACAAGTGGCATGTTGCTTAGCGATGAAAAACGCGGGTTTCCCACAGTTTAAAAAATAAAAAAATATAACTATCACGCCTGTTGTACTTTGCTTTCTCCCAAGCTCTGTGCTTTTCGTTTCCTCCATGCGCTCTGTCCCATTACCCGAGGATTGTCCCCGTCTCCGAGGACGCTCTTCAACAATTCTTCAAACCTGTGGAACAAAAATATAATAATTGATAGTTTGTCCCCAAAACTAAGAGACAAGAATGACAAACGCATGGCGTCCATGTTGGAAGACAAAAAAAAGAAGCTCATTAGAAATCTTTTGTGAATGCTATCAAACATGCGCGGCGCTGATGTCACATGAAAACCAAGAATTATCGTAGGCAGTGACTCTATGAAGGCTAATCAGCCTCCTTCACCAAAAAACAAACAAAAACAAGGAGAAATCTCTACCGTTTAGACTCTGTTTTGGCTTCTTCCACTGCGGTCTGTAATCTTTCGCTTGCCGTTCGTACGGCGGAATCTGACGATGAACTTGAAGGTTCCACATCTACAGATGGCGTGACAGGAATTGGCGTGACAAGAAGTGGAGTTAGCAAAGGCGTAGAGAGGTGAGGAGGGGTGACCAACGAGGCCGGCTGCAGTGAGTGTGTCGCGATATTATGGGAAGTACCTGCGATAACAAGACTCCTTACTAACGAGGAAGAAAGAGGAAAGGAAGGAAGAAAGCACCTGGGCCGGGTTGTCCGCAAGCCGGCTAACGCTAACCCAGGATTAAAAGTTAACCGAAGAATCAATTTTTGTTGTGTAAGAATATTTTTCACTGCTTCTGTTTTTAGTGGGTCGAGATTACGCAAGCTCAGAAATGAAGGACAAATAATATAAACAAAAAACCTCACGGAAAAACTGCAAAACTGAAATCAAAATTCTCGCTAATCCTGGGTGAGCCTAATCGGGCTTTGAACAACCCGGCCCTGTACTACATAGAAAGCGTGTGCTATGGATTTCTGTGGTCCACACCAAATTTTCGTGATGTTCGTCAAATTCTCCTATCTTGTGCTATAAGTAATCCATGGAAACCAGTAAAGAGAATTTGTGTTTAGACAATATCTTTCGTCTGATTCCATAAGTGTTATCCAATATGACTTGTAAAACAGAATGTAAACTAAAGAACGATGCACTAGCACCAGCTTAGCTTTCAACAGTTGATCTGACAGTATCCCCTGTTGATCAGTTTCGCTATTCTCATCGGTTTACTGCTTGACCATGCCTTGAAATTGTAAAGAGAAATTAGATATTGGTCGTCTTTAGTCAGTGAAGTGTTAGTTAGACATTCAACACTTCTGAAAACCCTCTCAAGATATCTTCGCACCATTCGGTACCGTTCCGAAATTTCTGAATTATATGCTCAAATGGAAAAATCCGACCATCATAAAACAATATGCATATCTTATACCTGTTATTTTATCAAGTTGTTGCTCTATGTCTACAAATGACTCGTGTAGCTTCACATCTCTGGTCTTCTTCGGTATTGATGACTCTAGACTGTAAATAAATACAAAATATGAAATATCTACGTGATACCATACTGACTGTCAGTGCAGTTTGTAAGATGACAATGACGCTATGCGAATACAACGGTTTTGTTTTCGAAAGTAAAAATTCAAACAATGTGTGGATAAACTTGACATATTAACCTCTTGAATCTGAATTTGCCTGGTTCACAGAGTCAGTGGCGGGAAAAGTTTTAAAAACAGGTAAGTTTTTTTTAAAATTTATTTTATAATTACCTGTTTTCACTTTTAACTTTAGCAGCTTCCTCCTTTGACAATCTCGCCGACTCCCGCCAAAGAGATGGTTGTTCAAATGTATTCAGCTCGTCTGCCAAGAAGTAAACGTCTTGCTCCGCTAGGTCTGGGTCCGAATGCAAGGGCGTTAGACGAAAGTTGACGCATGCGTCCAGGACGAGTGGCCAGGGAACCTGAGATGCGGACAGCCTGGGACTGTCCGAGAGGAAGTTGATCTCTTCCAAAACTCGCTTGGCACGTGCAAGAATCGTCTTAACCCTGGAATGAAATTAAATGAATTAGAAAGTTAAAAATAGTGTCATTTTATCCTTCCATTCTTTTGGCATCAAGTTACTAAGAAAACAAAACCTTCCTTGACGGCAAAGTAGTGATTATATCCGTAAATTTGTCAATACAGAATCTTCAGACGGCAAAATGGAGCACTAGTTTTCCGTACAACCATTTTGATTCCTGAATTCCCAACAATGAATACTTGACTATTGTCGGCGACAAACAGTGATAGCTTAGATTAATTATACAAAAGAACTTCGTGTCGGAGGTCGGAGCCTAATTTTGAACCTCTAGGATTTTTATTGGAAGCTGATTCAGTTGAAAGAAAGGGATACAATGCCAAACAAAATGTAGTCGTACGGTAGTATATTAGACAGTATTACATGGCCGCAAGGAAGAAAGAGTCAAGCTTAAAATGCTGACAGAACAGCAGTGTTTTACCTGTTTAACAGTCCCGTTGTGTTTGTTGAAAGACTTCGAGCGTACTCCAGACACAATTCACTTTCAGACTCCCAGATGCCTGAAAAAGAGAAAGAAAACAATTATGAAGATGATACTGGAATTTAAGATAGTTTCTTTACAAAAGTAATTATCATCTTAGAAAACGTTCCTTAGCTATTTAAAATTGACATTTTCCTAAGCTTAACTATGGAAAAGTACAGGGAATGTTAAGGAAAATTTTCTCACCATCAACTGCAGCTGGTGGAGGTGGAGGCAGTTTTAAAGCTGTGATACAGTTGTGAAGTCTTTCAAGATTTTCGTAGCTGTTCCACATCTCATCTGGCAGACCTGCCGAATAAAAATCCACAGATGTGAGGCAAAGTGCTCGTTAGAAATCGGAGTCTGCCTCGTTATAACACAGTGACACAGACGATGTTCTCAATAAGGGGAAAAGTACACAGTGAATCTTTGGAGGTTTTCACTCCATTTCTTGTCATGACTCCCCTGGGGGGAGGTTGGGCAGAAGTAATACCGATATAAAAAATCCGGTTCAAAAAATCTATCGTAACAAGAAATGGAAAACCTTTCAGTGCTTCAGAGATTCTCTATGAATACATGTATACGCGAGATGGCCCGTTTAAACATTTTCAGTTAGCAATTAAAAACGTTGCCCCTATTAATAAGCATTGTTATACACAGCAGGTTATGTATATGTTTTTGTGTAATTAATGTGCACGTCGAATTGTCAACTGTTTTTCTAATTCTCCGTATCATTAAAATATTAAAAAACACCAGTTCTCTTACCATTATCCATTTTCTTGTCATCAGTAAATTCACTGATTGGCCAGGAAAGACGCTGCAAACTGTTGGACGAAACAACAGCTCCGAGGTGATCCAACACGCTGTTGTAGAGTTCAATAATAGCTTCTGGACACTGTAAACACAAAACACAAAACCATTTCT